AGGCTCCCCCTCCATTAAACGCACAAGGCTGCCCCTCCACAAATGTAAGTCCTTTGTAGTTGTTATTGTTGCTGTTTATAAGCTGAGAATTCTATTTAGTACAACCTGCATTTATCTATAATTCTAAATTGTTATGAGAACTTTATTTATCATCACTAATAAAGTTGAGAATTTTATTTTGTTTATAGGATAATTTAGTACTTTTTATTTAAGAGAAAAAAGTTGAGAGGAAGCTAATAGTAGTAGTTCATTTACATTAGTAGCTCATCAAATTCTACTAAAAAGCGTATCAAATGAGATAAGTAAGCATTAGATATTGAGTAAAGTATATAAGAGTAAAGCATTTATAGGGTATAGGGTTTAGGGTATAGGGTATAGGGTTTAGGGTATAGGGTTTAGGGTTTAGGGTTTAGGGTTTAGGGTTTCTGTAACTTATGAGTTTAAGCGTCGAACATTTTGCTTCCTTCATTTAACTTCCCTTGAATATACTTTTCTTTACGAGTTGGTTCTCACTATATATGTGTTTCAGGCTAAGAAATGGGTGTCAAGGGCTTCTAGGGTAAGATCATCAGTTTGGAGAGTGGGCGGAAAGCATCCTGGTATCTTACTCTGACTGTCCTTGTTCTTGCTCACTAATATCATTCTTATCTTTTCCCTTAATCTGGTTTCTATTTGTGTTCTATATAGGCTATATTGAAAAAGATTCAGAGGAACTTTTGGGCGAAGCATTGACCTTCTATTTGAGAGTGTTGAGACTTTGTAGGTACTCAGGTATATATATAACTTTATGTGCTATATATAAGTTCTTGTTTGCACACTTTTGTGGAGATGGTGTATGATATAACTTTAGTGCAACTTCTATCATGATGTGTGATTAATCCATTGTTTTTTAATTGATTGCATGTATCATCATATGCCTAGATACCCGTTCAAGGCTCTTGAATAGTCCCCGGTTGGGACTGTTCTTGAACGTTTACTCTCACTTAGGCGGTGAATGTATGTCCTTTTTTTCGATTTTAAGGAACATCTTGTCTTAGCATTTCCTCGATCACCATGTTCTCTGGGTACATATGTGGGTAAGTAATTACCTACGTCGTGTACTTGGAGAACTGGGGGGAAATGCTGCCGGATTTTCCTTAAAATTGGAAAGTCGACATACATTCACTAGTGAGAGTAAACGTTCAAGGATGGGTTAGGTTGGAGTGATAAGGGCCCTTTGGAAGCATATATGCATTTTTGTATCTATATGATTGTTATATGCATGTTGTGTGTTTGAATTTAATTTACTTATATAATAGATGGTAGCAATTATACATGATTCATAATATATTGCCCTGTTTAGTGACAATTTACTTAATGGAGAAGGATCGTGGCTGGATGTATGGTAGACGTGATACATTGGAATTCTTTAATGGGGTTCAAGAGTTTTGCGCGAGGGCTTCATCTTATTAGCGCAGAATGGGTTTCGATTGCCTCTATTGTCCTTGTGTTGATTGTATTAATGTGAAGGTGGTCAATAGTGTTGATATCATTAGAGATCATGTAGTTTGTCGTGGGTTTAGGCTTAAATACCATGTGTGGATTTGGCACGGTGAAGAAGGAGGGTACATTGGGGATGTTATTGGGAATGATGTGCATGATGATAGAAACAATGACATTTGTGTGGAAGAGGAATACAAGAATGATGAACATATTGTTGATACTGGTGCTGAGGATGGATTTGAGGATGATCATGTGGATGAGGTCGAGGATGAAGGGGTGGATGAGATGATGCGTGCTTTTGAAGGTGACGTGTTTGAGTCATTATCGGAGGCTTCTAAAAAGCCCTTGTATCCTGGGTGCAAAAAATACTCTAAACTATCCGCCGTGCTAACACTTTTTAACATTAAGTCAAAGCATGGGTGGACGGACAATAGTTTTACTTCTTTGTTGAGCGTGTTAAGTGAGATGTTGCCTGACGGGAATGAAATTCCTAAGTCTTACTATTACGCTAAGAAGCTCATGTGTCCATTTGGTTTGGAGTATAAGAAGATACATGCATGTCCTAATGATTGTATTCTTTATCGAAATGAATATGAAAAATTGGAGGAGTGTCCACGATGTAAGAAGTCGCGCTACAAGCGCATGAGTTGCAATGCTGGTAAGCAGGGACCGCCTGCTAAGGTGTTGTGGTATCTTCCCATTATTCCAAGGTTTAAGCGTCTATTCTCAACACCAACAGACGCTAAAAACTTGAGGTGGCATGCAGAGGGAAGAAAGAATAACAGAATGCTGAAGCATCCAGCCGACTCCCCGCAATGGAAGAACCTTGATATCAAGTTTGGAGAATTTGGTGATGAAGTTAGAAATTTAATGCTTGATTTGTGCACGGACGGGATGAATCCATTTGGCACTCTCAGTACCCAGTATAGCACATGGCCGGTACTGTTAGTGATCTACAATTTGCCTCCTTGGTTGTGCATGAAACGAAAATACATAATGCTTTCTCTATTGATATCGGGGCCAAGGCAACCTGGAAACGACATAGATGTTTATCTTGCGCCCCTTGTTGATGATTTGAGAAAGATGTGGGACGAAGGGGTTTCTATTTTTGATGCTCATAAGAATGAGATGTTCACATTGCGTGCAGCTCTTATGTGGACCGTTAATGATTTTCTTGCGTATGGCAACTTATCCGGGTATAAGAACAAAGGGAAAAAATCATGCCCCATTTGTATTGATGGTACGCCAAGCAGGCGCCTTGATCATTCTCACAAAGTGGTGTACTTGCGCACCCGAAGGTTACTCAGGCGCGATCACCCGTACCGTAGGCAGAAAAAGGCTTTCGATGGGACAGTGGAAGAGGGGACTGCTCCTAGGGTTGACTGGTGAAGAGGTTTACGCTCGAGTAAAGGGTGTACGAACAGTCTTTGGGAAATCAGAAAAAGCGGCGGAGTCAACTGCTCTCTTTAAAAAAGAATCAATCTTTTGGTTGCTCCCGTACGGGAAAGAACATGACGTTAGGCACTGTCTTGATGTAATGCATATAGAGAAGAATGGTTGTGATGTTCTTATGGGAATGCTGATGAATATTCAAAGCAAGACAAAGGACGGAAAGGGTGCACGGGACGATTTGAAAAAGATGGGGGTTCGTCCAAAATTTTGGGTTCAGCAAAGGGTTAGTAAGGGAAAGGAACAGGAAAAGGAAAATGAATTGAGTTCGAAAACATAAAAAGGGGAAGAGCAAGGGAAAGGGAAAGGCCACGGATGCGTCGAAGAAGAAAAAGGAGGGAAAAGCCAAGGAGGGCAAGGCCTATTTACCTCCGGCTTGCTACACATTGTCAAGGGTAGAAAAACGGATGTTTTGTGCATGTCTGTATGGCATTAAGGTTCCATCAGGGTACGCATCTAACATGAAGAGATTTGTATCCTTAAATGGAGAATTGAAGCTGACAAGTATGAAATCCCATGATTGTCATGTTCTGATGCAAGTTTTCCTACCAATTGCAATACATGGTATTTTATCAAAGCACATGCGGGTAGCTATTACAAGCCTCTGTTCGTTTTTCAATACAATATGCAGCAAAGTGCTTGATCCTTGTACACTTGATGCTTTACAGGCGGATGTGGTTGTGACTTTGTGCAAATTTGAGATGTACTTCCCACCCTCGTTTTTCGACATAATGGTGCATTTGATTCTTCATTTGGTGCGTGAGATTAAGTTATGCGGTCCAGTGTTCATGCGGTGGTGCTATCCTTTTGAAAGACATATGGATACATTGCAAGATAAAGTCAGGAATCGGGCTCACCCGGAAGGAAGTATGATTCAAGGGACCGTGGCTGAGGAGGTCGGTAATTTTGTGGCCGACTATATAGCCGTTGCTAAACCTATTGGTATTCCTACTTCTCGACACGAAGGGAGACTTGATGGTCATGGCACAATCGGGTCGAAACGAATGTCGCCTGATCAAGATAAGTTCTTACAAGCGCACCTATATGTGTTGCACCATGTTGCAGATGTTCACCCATATTTAGACGAGCACATGGCTAGTTTGCGTGATGAATTTCCATCGAAAGGTGAACGGGCACTTATGCATTTGCATAATAAGAAGTTTGTGAGCTGGTTTCGTGATCGAGTGATGGGTGGAAAGTATGAGAATGTCACAGATACAGTAAGATGGCTTGCTTATGGTCCTAGGGATGACGTTCGCTCATTTGAGGGATATGACATAAATGGGTACACATTTTGGACTGAGCATCAGGATTTGAAATCATCCTTGACCCAAAACAATGGTGTAACTCTTGTGGCATCGTCAAGGGAGTTTGCAAGTGCTAAGGATAAATCACCTGTTGATGCAGAGTTGTCATACTACGGTCGAATTCAAGAAATATGGGAGCTTGATTATTGTGACTTCACGATTGCTCTTTTCCGGTGTAAGTGGGTTGATAATAACAGGCGTAACGTCAAACATGATGACTTTACTCTTGTAGATCTTGGCCACCTGAATGATAGAGCTGAACCATTCATCCTTGCATCTCAAGCCAAGCAAGTGTTTTACGTAAGTGATCCAGCCGACTCAAAATGGTCTATTGTGCTAGCCGGCAAAAGAAGAATCCTTGGCGTTGGAGATGTCGAGGATGAGGAAGAATATGATGTGTTTGATGACTCAACACCTTTCACTGTTCCTAGACCTATTGTACCAAATGAGATAGACGACCAAGCCAATTACATGCGATCAGACCACGACGAAGGAATATTAGATTGAGGTACTATTTTTTGTTAGTTTGAAATTGTAGGCGTCGAACGTATTATTAAATCACATTTTTAGGTGAAAATGAATGAAATTGCTAACTTACTTGCCCATTTTTCTTATTTTCTTTTAAATGAATGAAGTAACTTAGTTCCCCATTTTCTATGTTAATTTGTATTATAATTCAGCAATTTATATTTGATTATAAATTTACCTTATAAATTTATTTATATTACAACTAATAACATGTTATGTTTGTAATGACAGGTTTTACATCTCATGGCGGATGATCACTACCGTATTGGAGTGGAGGATGTAGAGGATGATGATGATGATTCATCTGGGGTTGGGGACGAGTTGTATGATGTGAACAAGGAGCCTAATTTGGGTGAGGCAGAAGATCAGGCTCAAGATGTTTTGGATCGTATGCTTGATGAGTTTGAAATTGCAGCTGAACAAGCGCCTCCTATCGAGAATGCAATGTCTGAGTCGTTCGGCGAGGACCAAAGTGGAGGGGGGGTGAAGGGACCAGCGCAGAAAAAGCTGAGGGGTCCGACTACAAGTTTCAAGAAACCTGTCGGTCCAATGGTCTTGGAGTATGACAGGGTAGGACAACCTACAGGCAAATGGCGTCGTCAGTATGCTGTTCAAGTTGGGATTTGTGCGCGCAAAATCCCCATTACTCTTCGTTTGAGCGACGTACCTATTGGCTTGATAGACACGTTTTGGAATGATACACGGGTAAGTGATTTGTTTCCACATTTGTAAATTCCTTCACTTTATTGTTATTTAATGGGCAAACTAATAATGACTGTTATTTGTGCTTGCAGAGTCTATTTAACATTCCAAATGAGTACGCCAAGCGAAGGGTGTTTGAATCCTTACTTGCGACAAGATTCAGAGGGTTCAAGACCACCTTAGTTCGTCGGTTTATCACAAAGAAGCTTGTGAGAAAACCAAAGAACAAGAAAGAAGGTGGCATGGATGAAGAAGTCATCGATGAAGAGAAACTCCCATGGCAAATATGGCCTAGTGTATCAAAGGAAGATTGGGATGCTTTCGTTCTTCAAAAAAGCAAAAAAGAAGCAATTGTAAGTTCAAGTAACTCTGATGACAATTGTAAAATATATTTAATATTTTGGTAGTTTTGAAACTAATATGTCTAAATATGTAGGAAATAAGAGAGCAGAATTCCAAGAATGCATTGCAGAAGCAATACTACCATCGTATGAGGTGTATGACGTATGATGAATGGAGGGAGACATGGGTGAGTGAGGGAGTATACCCCACTTCGCTACTAGGGTCCTCCACTGTGCCCTCTGACTCCACGACCAGTACTTTGGTGAGTCGTGCTGGAGATTTCTTCTGTTCTTTGCATTCTCGTGACAAGAAAACCGGAAAATGGTCAATCAAGGCTCCGGAAACAAAAGAAATGGCAGATAAACTTGTAAGCAACTATGAATTGTGAACTGCATGAATCTGTTGTATATATATCATTTTACATAAACACTAACTTGATGTTGCCTTTTTGCTTTTGCTACAGCTTGAGTACACTGGAGAGCTTGTTGAAGGCAAGCTCGTCCCAACAGTGGAGAAGGACCCTTTCACCTTGGCTTTAGGAAAGCCCTACCATCCAGGACGTGTATTGGGTGCGGGGGGGAGCTTGCTAGGATGGGAGAAGGTGATGGGTCCAGAATATACCAAATCAGGGAGATCCCGGGCAAGTGTGAACTCACCGGTCAACTTGGATGCTACGGTGGCATTAATTAAGGAACAAGTGCGCAACGAGATGCGAGAAGATTTCAATGCATGGGCAAAGCAAATGAACTTGCCGAGCTTTCCTTTCTCCTCGACTACAACGGTCGACTCTTGTAGTTACCCACGAAAACAAGGAGAAGATGAGATACATGCAGACGAGGAGGTACATGATTACGTGGTTTCTAATCTATAAGTATTTTGACTTGTTGAGGTATGTGGGTTCTAATTAGCCTCGCACTATCAATACATTGTTGTAGGTTGGTAATCCTGCACATGCGTACTTGAGGGAGCTTGAAAATCCAACACCACATGACTTTCCGGTTCTACAGGTGAGTTGTGTAGTTTTTCTTTGGATGGTGATATTGGTTCTTTGATTCAGCTGTGAATTTGTGAAGTTTGTTGTGTTGTGCGGTTTTTGCGTTATTTTGTGTTGTATGTTGTTGCGGTTGAGTTGCTAATGATGTGTTGCTATTGAACTACTGTTGGTGTTGTGTGTTGCTGTTGTTTACAAAAATGGTAGCAGTGAAAATGGCCTTACTCGGGCCATTTTGGTTGAAAATGCGTTCTAAAACCCCTTAATTGCTATTTTCTTGTAATTTCAAGCCTTAGTCACCAATAACTAAGTGATAAAGACATGTTATGACTAATTATGAGTTCAATAGACAAGAAATGTAGGAAATAGGCATCCTAGTAGTCAAAATGGCCTTACTCTGGCCATTTTGGTTGAAAATGCGTTCTAAAACCCCTTAATTGCTATTTTCTTTTAATTTCAAGCCTTAGTCACCAATAACTAAGTGATAAAGACATGTTATGACTATTTATGAGTTCACTAGACAAGAAATGTAGTAAATAGGCATCCTAGCAGTCAAAATGGCCTTAATCGGACCATTTTGGTTGAAAATGCGTTCTACAACCCCTTAATTGCTATTTTCTTGTAATTTCAAGCCTTATCCACCTATAAATAAGTGATAAAGACATGTTATGACTATTTATGAGTTCACTAGACAAGAAATGTAGGAAATAGGCATCCTAGTAGTGAAAATGGCCTTACTCGGGCCATTTTGGTTGAAAATGCGTTCTAAAACCCCTTAATTGCTATTTTCTTTTAATTTCAAGCCTTAGTCACCAATAACTAAGTGATAAAGACATGTTATGACTATTTATGAGTGCACCAGTGCACAGCACACTATTGCACAACACACCGGTGCACAGCACACCGGTGCACAGCAGAGCACACTAGTGCACAGGGCACCACTGCACCACTGCATAGCACAGCAGCTGGCACAGCAATGCACCACCAGTGCACAGCATCTGGCACAACAATGCACCACCAGTGCACAGCAGCTGGCACAACAGTACACCACTGCACAACACAGCAGCTGGCACAGCAGTGCACCACCAGTTCACAGCAGCTGGCACAGCAGTGCACCACCAGTGCACAGCAGCTGGCAGCAGTGCACCAGTGCAGCAGGCAGCAGTGCTGTGTTGCTGTTTTTGCGTTGCTGATGTTTTTGCATTGTTGTTGCTGTTTTTACTGTGCTATTGCTGTTTTTTTTTTTGTTTTTTTAACTTTTTTTTTTGTTTTGATTTTCTTTGTTTAACTTGGTTCTAACAACTGATCTTCGGTGTAGGAAGAGACCCGTTGTTAACTTCTTCACCCGGGCGATTCATACTGTGGAGCTTTGAATTTGGTTGCGTATGGAAGTGCTCAACCATCCGAACAAGTTACGGTCCATTTGCGACCGCTTCGGCCAGAGCACTATTCGGTTGGGATCAATTCTGTGGTGGCCGGATTCGAGGACATCCTAATACCTGTGCCCATAGAGGAGGATGAGTTCACTACACTTTGGGCAACCAAAGGTAGTTTTGTGCAATGGCCATGTGCTTGGATACGGTTTACAACCCAGGTAATTTACATTTAGAGTTCACGCTTTACTCTATACCCGATTTTAATCCCAAGTGTTGGAAGAAATTCTTTTTTAACCATTTGTGTCCTTTAATTTGTCTTATTAGCCATCGAGGAAAAGCCAAACTTCAAAGAAGAGGGTGGAGGGGCAAAAGAGCATTGATCGACCGATGTCAAAGAAGAGGAGTGAACATGGGTCGATGAGTGGAAAAGCGTCGAACAAGAGCTCTTCGCGAGGTTCAGCTATGCAAGCTACTCCACTAGTTGAAGACACGATGCTTCAATCGCTCTCTAAGGAGTTAACTTATCTGCACAACCGTGTTTGTGTGTTGCCTAGTGATAGCCCCATTCAAGTTCCACTACCTAAGGAAATGTTCCACTACGATGATGATGCAATGGCATGGCTATTCAAAGAAGATGTGAAGGAATTTCTAAGTGGTGCAATGCTTAACATTTCCCTCATTCAAATATGCATCAAATAATTCAACTAGTACTCAATTTATGTTATTCAGTTTAGTGGTGATTGTCATTTGGTTTTCGATTAACATTCTATTATCATGCATGCAGAGCACTCCAGGAGCAAATATAGGAGCTTGAATCTCCGTGTCAAATTGGGTGGTTATGCCCTGAGCAGATGTCCACTGCTAGAATCTTAGGCAACTCTGCTGACGTGTTGTACTATGCTGAACGGGCTATCAGGGAATCAGTGGCTGCGAGAGACAAGTTTATATTCGTCCCATATTATGAGGAGTACGTCTGATTATGATAGTCAAATTCATTTGTTTTCCCAGTTTATATGCTGTACTAGGCTAAATATTGATTTGTTTGTCTCGTGTGTAGTTATCATTGGACCCTATTGGTGATTTGTGTTTCCAGTAACACAATCTTCTTCTTTGATTCTGCTCGGTTACCTCAACCAAGAAAGCGCCTCGTGAGGTCCATACTGCAAAAATAAATATCTTGTTTGTTTCAATTCTTGTTATTGATTATCATAACCTAACTCATATGTATTAATTATACTAATCAAATTTGAACTTACTTTTGTATGTAGTGTGATGAAGAAGATAAATCCTCGAGCTCCTCGAGGTCCTACATGGAAAGCACCCAAGGTAATGCCACATGATGTTGTGATATTCTAAATATACAATGCGTAAGATGTGGCTAATTTGCTATGCATTGTGATTCATGTGCTTTGTTCCTCATGCTAGTGCGCACAACAGGAAAATGGAGTTGATTGTGGCCTATACGTGATGAGATTCATGTATGACATAGTGATGAGTCATTGTACAGACACACAACAACTTGAAGAGGTATGCCATTTTGGTTGAAATTGCGTTCTAAAACCCCTTAATTGCTATTTTCTTGTAATTTCAAGCCTTATTCACCAATAACTAAGTTATAAAGACATGTTATGACTAATTATGAGTTCACTAGACAAGAAATGTAGGAAATAGGCATCCTAATAGTCAAAATGGCCTTACTCGGGCCATTTTGGTTGAAAATGCGATCTAAAACCCCCTTAATTGCTATTTTCTTGTAATTTCAAGCCTTGGCCACCTATAAATTAGTGATAAAGACATGTTATGGCTATTTATAAGTTCACTAGACAAGAAATGTAGGATATAGGCATCCTAGTAGTCAAAATGGCCTTACTCGGGCCATTTTGGTTGAAAATGCGTTCTACAACCCCTTAATTGCTATTTTCTTGTAATTTCAAGCCTTGGCCACCTATAAATAAGTGATAAAGACATGTTATGACTATTAATGAGTTCACTAGATCAAGAAATGTAGGAAATAGGCATCCTAGTAGTCAAAATGGCCTTAATCGGGCCATTTTGGTTGAAAATGCGTTCTACAACCCCTTAATTGCTATTTTCTTGTAATTTCAAGCCTTGGCCACCTATAAATAACTGATAAAGACATGTTATGACTATTTATGAGTTAACTTGACAAGAAATGTAGGAAATAGGCATCCTAGTAGTCAAAATGGCCTTACTCGGGCCATTTTGGTTGAAAATGCGTTTTAACACCCCTTAATTGCTATTTTCTTGTAATTTCAAGCCTTGGCCACCTATAACTAAGTGATAGAGACATGTTACGATTATTTATGAGTTAACTCCTACTAACTTACGTTTTGTGTATGTATTCCAAGTTTTGCCAGGGACAAACGGGAAATCCGTTCACGAGCGAGGAACTCAATGTAATTCGAGACATGTTGGCGGCCTACATCACATTTAATTTGTAAATATCATTTATTTCTGTTTTAACTAGCTTAGTGTACTACATTATTACTAATTATATTTGTTTTTTTGTAGTTATGACACATTTTCCTAATTAATATCATATTTTGGGATTGTTATCAATATTTATGTCCTTGTTATTATTTTCAATTATTATTATTAATAATATATTAATAATACTAATTATTATTAATATTATAATAATAATTATTATTATTAATATTATAATAATAATTATTATTATTATTAATATTAT